TTTTATTTATTTATTTGACAGAGAGAGACACAGCGAGAGAGGGAACACAAGCAGGGGGAGCGGGAGAGGGAGAAGCAGGCCTCCCGCCGAGCAGGGAGCCCGATGGGAGCTCGATCCCAGGACCCCGGGATCATGACCTGAGCCGAAGGCAGACACTTAACGACTGAGCCACCCAGGCGCCCCCCCAAAAAATATATATTTTTAAACAATCTCTACACCCAATGTGTGGCTTGAACTCATGACCCCAAGATCGAGAGTTGCATGCTCTACTGATGGAGCCAGCCACCCCCTCTTTTTTTTTTTTGCAAAGAGAAATACAGGAAAGATAAACCAGAATGAGTCTTTGAACACATCTTTTTATAAAGTTTCGATGTTTGATCACATCAAACATGTTAATATATTACACATTTAAAAATAAAATTAAAAAAAATAATAAAAATAAAATTAGATCAACAAGGATTTTTAAAAAAAGAAACTTCAAATTGGAAACAAACGAAAACATATGAACTTCACTATCTATCAGATGGGTAACAACCATATTAAAGAAAACTGGAAAAAAAATCCAAGTAACTCTTAGTTATAGTATTTCTACCTTCAATCCGAAGGGGGGGGGGAACACAAAGAAGACTTAAATTCGACCTAACAGGTTGATTGTTCATAATGGCGTGGGTGCTGTAATTCTGATAGAACTAGCTTATGTGGATTGCAGAAATGAGCAAAGGAGTCAAGATGTTAATTCAGCTGGGAGGCGGGGTGATCGTGGAGAGAGAAAGGCTCTACGAATATAAAGTGGTACAAGGAGAAGGAGATGGAATGGCTCTTTTTCCTGGTCTGAAAGGCCACGGGGAAAGACATCCCAGAGGCAGTGAGCATGCTCAGCTTCCAAATCTAGACTTCTAACCTCACTCCCCACTGCAGAGAAACAGGTGAAACGGCGGAGTCCAGGGCTCCCGCTGGAGAGCACAGGGTCAGCCTGGAACATCTCAGTAGCAGAAGTAAGAATAATGCTGAGAGAATGACAGACTAGGTCAAAAAAACACAGGAGCCAGCTTGAAGGGGCTCCCAGTAGCCAGATCTGGTACGATCGGAGCATGAAATGAGTTATGATAGTGATGGATCACATCCATAGTGACCTAAGTAAATAGTAAGGACGAGGGGAAGAACCTTACGGTACAATGTTAACTAATAAATGCAGAAGGAACCGTAGAGTTTAAAAAAATCAGTTTGGCGGGGCGCCTGGGTGGCTCAGTTGGTTGGGCGGCTGCCTTCGGCTCAGGTCATGATCCTGGAGTCCCGGGATCGAGTCCCGCATCGGGCTCCCTGCTCGGCAGGGAGTCTGCTTCTCCCTCTGACCCTCCTCCCTCTCATGCTCTCTGTCTCTCATTCTCTCTCTCTCTCAAATAAATAAATAAAATCTTTAAAAAAAAAAAAACAAGAATAAAAGCAAATTGTACTAAAAAAAAAAAATCAGTTTGGCAATCATTATAGTAATTTGACTTAGGCAAGAGTCATCCAGGTGCTGTAGAGCGAACAGGATATTCATTTAATTTCAGAAAATCTCCCCGCAGGTTCATTACTAATCACAAGGGGAAAACTAGTCACCTTACAGTAGAGACATCTGGTGATCAAAATTAACATCACCGACACAGGCACCAGCAAAAAATCCCCTGCCGCTGATAGGATCAACGAGGTGAACACCGTGTCACTTCTGGGCTATTCCTGCCACCAATACATAATCCCAGTCTAATGAAAAAGGATTAGACAAATCCTTTTGTAGAAGGGACATCCTACAAAATGACTGGCCCCCGCTCTTCAAAATGTCAAAGCTGAGAAGGACAAAAAAAGATTAAGACTGACCCATGGGCGCCTGGCTGGCTCAGTCGGAGGAGGGTGTGACTCTTGATCTCGGGGTCATGAGTTCGAGCCCCGTGTTGGGTGCAGAGATTACTTAAATAAATAAACTTAAAAAAAGACTAACCCAGACTAAGGGAGTCTGAAGAGTCACAGCATGTGAAATGCAGCAGGTGGTCCTGGGTTGGATTCCAGACCCGGAACATTTTTACTACAGAAGACAGGTAAGGGAAATGGTGAAATCTGAGTGAAGTCCGTGGGTCGGAGAACGGTGTTTCATCTACGTTAATTTGCTGATGTTGACACATTTGCATTGCGGTGATGTAAGAAAATGCCCTTGATTTTAAGAAATACACAGTAGAGGGGCACCTGAGTGGTGCAGTCGGTTAAGCATCCGACTCTTGGTTTCCGCTCAGGTCATGATCTCGGGGTGGTGAGGCTGAGCCCCGCGCTCAGCAGGGAGTCTGCTTGAGATTCTCTCTCTCTCTCCCCTCCTGTGCTCTCTCTCTCAAATAAATAAAAAAATCCTTTAAAAAGTACACAGTAGTGTTTAGGAGTAAAGAAACACAATGTCTCCAATTTACTCTAGAATGATTCAGAAAAGTCCTATTCAGAGAGAGAGAGAGAGAAAGAGGTGGGGAAGAGAGAGACAGAGAGAGAGAGAGAGAGAGGGAGGGAAGGGACGGGGAGGGAGAGGAGAGAGGGAGCACAGATGTGGGGGGTGGAGGGATACTGGAGTTATTGGTGCTTTGGGGGCAACCTTTCTGTAAGTTTGAAATTATTTCGAAATTAAAAGTGAAGAAAAAGAAGAAAGGTCTTGGCAACGGATAGTGAATGTGCCCTACAAATACCGTACAATTGACAAAGCAGAGTTCCTCCCTGGCCTTCCTCTGGCCTTGGGGACCCTCTGGTGGGGTGGGGTGGACATGTTCGGGCAGGCTCCCGGGACAGGGCATGGGGGAAGGGGACATTTTTGGCCCCTTGGTGGGTGTCACCCTACTGGAGGGGATCCGACTGGAGTGTAACTGATCCCAGGGCCGGCTTGGGGAGACAGAGGGTTGCCGCCAGGCCTCTCCTGGAGGACGGCTCCCTGAAAGCTGGGATGGTCAGGGAGGGCTGCTGGGAGGAGTGGGCCCTGGGCTGCCGGGACGTGAACTGGGTGCTGACGGGGGACTCCTGGCTGGGGCGGGGGAGCAAGGAGTGAGGTGGGCTGGCAGGGGCCAGGGGCCGAGCCGCCTGTCCTCCCACCAAGGGCCCCGGGGTGCCAGGGTGCACGTCCACGGTGCGCCCCGACAGGCCAGTGGTCCTGGGAGCCGCGCGGTCACAGCACTCTCTGGCACCTGTGCTCCCACGACAGGCCTGTCCCTGCACGCTCGCAGGGCCTTCCCGTGGGCTACTCACGTAGTGCTGGCTGGGGACGAAGCGCTTCTCGAAGCCCAGAAGGGCGATGTGGCGTATGAAGGTGTCCCCCATGGCCGGACTGCGGGGCCTCCCCTTCTGTGGGGGCGCTCCCTGGCTGGGCCTTAAATGGGGTGGAAAGAGGAAGTCACTTTGGTCTCGGCAGGGGTGGGGGCAAGAGGGGGCAGGGAGGACGCAAGGAGGGCTCTGCTTCTTCTTTCAGTTTCTGGGATTCCTTCGACTCCTGTGGCATGGACGTGGGCGGCCTCATGCAGGCGTGTGGATGGGAGAGCTTGCCAGGTCCTCCCCACGGATGGCGAGCCCCGCAGTTTGGGGGGGGGTGCCCATCCCCCACCCCTCTCCCTCCGGCAACCTGTGGACCAGCCACGCTGGCCTCTCTACAGTTTCTGGAACACACCAAGCTGCTCCCACTGCAGGGTCTTTGCTCTTGCGGGGCCACCTGGACCGTCTCCCACTTGTCTGTAACTCCCTCCCTAGGGTCTTCAGGTTTCTGCTCAGATGGCACCTCCTCCAAGAAGCCTTTCTTGATAACTTCACAAAAGAGCAAAACTTCACGCTTCCCCCCCCCACACACACTCACACCTTCCCTGTTTTGATTCAGAGCACTTACTACGACGGACATATTGCCTATTTCGGGTTTTTTTACGATGTCTCTCCTTACCAGGATGTGAGCCCCATGGGAGCAAGGGCTTGGCTGTGGCCCCAAGCCCTAGCCTGGTGGCTGGCTGGCAGAGGGCCCTCCCTAAATACTTGGGTAGTGGCCACACCAGTGCCCTCCATGGGAGGGGTGCATATCTACAGGGGTGTGTAACTGAGCACCAGTGGCCGTGGGGACAGGCTCTGAGACCTGCGTTCAAGTGGACCCTCGGGGCTCAGTTTCCTGCTGAGTGAAATGGGACCACAGGCTCTGCTGAGAGGGATGTGGGGTGAAGAGGTGAGGAGGGAGCCGTGTGCTGGTGGGTGAGGGAAGGGGCTGGGGCCTCTCACACGGTGCGGGGGGCGGGGGGTGCCTGGGAGGCTCAGAGATTACAGAGCTGGTCCAAGGTCACAGGGCAGGTGGCCTCCACTGACACTGTCTGGCTGCAGGCTCAGGTTGGCGGGGCTGGTTGGTGGCCCAGATGCACAGATTCCAAGACCCAGAGGCCACGGCAAAGGCCACCAGCACTCTGAGAGCCACGGGTCCCCCTGGACTCCTGGGGGTGAGGTGGCGTCTGGCAGAGGGCAGCCAAAATGTGCCGTTTTGAGACTGTTACCATGACCGGTCAAGTTGGTGGTTGTTCCTGGTTTTGTCTACTAAGAAGGGCAGGGGCCACGTCCTCTTCGCTGAGAGATTTGCTTGGCACATCCCCTGTGGTCACTAGGAGGTCACTGGCCCTGGGTGTGGCCAGCCTTGCAAGGCCCTTCTCTGGTCATCTCCATTATTTATCTAGAATCTTCCCGAGGGGCGCCTGGGTGGCTCGGGCGGTTAAGCGTCTGCCTTCGGCTCAGGTCACGATCCCAGGGGCCTGGGATCAAGCCCCGCATCGGGCTCCCTGCTCAGCCAGGTGCCTGCTTCTCCCTCTGCCCCTCCCTCTCCTCCCTCCCCCTCTCTCACAAATAAATAAATCTTAAAAAAAGAAACAGAACCTTCCTGCACAGTAGGATACGGTGCTCAGCAACGAGGAGCTGCCGCACACAACTCGGGGGAACCTTCTAGACACGGGTGGAGGGAGAGAAGGCAGACAGCAGAGCACACTTTGGCAGGACGCCGTGTAGACCAAGCTGAAAAACTCCCCTCGCCAGGCTCCACTGTTGGAAGGCAGGGTGACCTCCAGGGTGGGGACAGCGGTGGCCGTTAGGGACCAGGAGGTGGTAGCTGGACTGCCCCTTCCTGATCAGGCTGCTGGTTCTGCAAGCGTGCTCACTCTCCGATAATCCGCCCAGTCCCGGCACGCGGGGTCGCGCGTGGCCCTTTGCTGTGGGTACGTCATGCTTGGATGACAATTGCCACATGAGGAAGAGGCTGGGGTCACGGGATGGACGGCAGCGCCTGGGAGCGCAGCGCGCTTGGCTCACTGCAAGCGCTCCCCCTCGTCCCCGTTCCCACGCGGTGCTGCCCTGAGGTCACTGCACACGCACCCCCCAGTCTGGCTCACCTGGGCGCAGTGAGGACAAGGGCCGGGGAAGTCAGCGGGGCCCGCGGCCAGTGGCACTTCCCGCCCTTCCTCCCGTGGCCTTTCCACTCTTGCATAATAGGTTCCGGGCCCTGGGCGGCGAGCCGAGTCGTGCAGACACCACCTTGCCACTTCCCTCCTGTGGCCTCCCCAGACCTCCTCCCGCGGCCCCCGCAGCCAGGAGCATCCACAGCAAGTCCCGTTGTCGCTTGGCAGGCTCAAAGCCTTTGTGAGGCTGTGGCAGGCCTGACTTGAATGCACGGGGGAGACAAGCAAGTGACCAAAGGATTAAAACAAAAAAAAAGGGAATGAGCAAATTGAAGGAATGAGATAATAAACGGATACAAGGGTTGTTTTGGGGGGAGGGGGCGGGGGGAGATTTAAACTTTTTTTTTTTTTAAGATTTTATTTATTTATTTGAGAGAGAGAGAATGAGAGACAGATAGCAAGAGAGGGAAGAGGGTCAGAGGGAGAAGCAGACCTCCGCTGAGCAGGGAGCCCGACGCGGGACTCGATCCCAGGACCCTGGGATCATGACCTGAGCTGAAGGCAGACGCTTAATGACTGAGCCACCCAGGCGCCCCCAAGATTCAAACTTTTAAAGTTTTAAGACTTTTATTGTGAAATATACAGAAAATTGCAGAAAAATGTACAGTTTGGTGATTATCAGATCATAATGATGAGGAAGTCGGTATCCCAGGGGCCCGGTCAGCTGCATATTACAACCACAGCTCAGAGTGCCCCCCACTGCCCCTTGACGGCTGGCTGGAGGGCCTCAGCCGGGGTCGGAGCGCTTCGTATTTACCAACACCTTATCATCACGAGGAAGCTGTCAGATAGGTGCTGTCATTTCCCCCCACTTTACAGACACGAAAACTGAGGCACAGAGCCGTAAATCAGTTGTAAGGGAAGAGCTGGGATTTGAACCCAGGCAGTCCGGACCCCAGGACCATGCTCTCAACCACTGGGCTCCCCTGCTCTGCCATTCATCATGTGAGTGAATGATGAACACGACTGGGGATTCACGAGGAAGGAGTTGGCCTGCACCAACACCCCCAAAGCAGGAGATTCTCAAATTGGGCCAGGCTGGGAAGGAGGCAGGTCTTTACCTCTTCCCAGATGCCACGTTCTCCAACGCCAGGCCTTCCCCACATGGGCTGGGCGGGCCAGTTCCTCAACCAGGAAATCCCCGGGGGCTGGGCCACGCTGGCGAGAGGGATGTGACATCGGAGCCCGAGGTCCAAGCAGTGCCCTCCGGGATCTTGTGTCAAGAGAGGGAATCCAGGGCTTTCCAGGATGGGAACAAATCAGCCATCGTTACGAGGCTGTTAGTTCTTTCCCAAGCGTAACTTAAAGCCCACCTGCTGCCCCTCCTTGGGTGAGAACAGTCTGGATCAGCAGCCTGAGGACGCCCGGGGCCAGCCCTCAGGACCGGTTCTCTCCTGATGCCCACACTGGTGGGACGGGGCCCCCCCGAGGCGCCGCTGCCTGGCAGGCAGCCGAGCCACTGGGAGGGGACGCTGGCCGTGAGGGGTCAAGGCTCTTAACTGCAAGCAGGTGTCTGCATGCAGAAACGTGGGTTGCTGGAGATCTGCTTCCAAGGGGCCACAAGTCTTCCGTTTCTCAGAAAACCAGACCAGAAATGGGCTCTGGGTGGGTCGGGGATGAACCCTGAGGCCTCATAAGAGAACCAGGTGCCTGCACTCGAGAGGGCTCGGGACACACCAGAGTCCCATCCCTGGGAATTTCTTCTCCCCTGGGCGGGGGGCCTCGGGAGTGGGGGCTCCGACCGCGCCTTTGGTCTGCAGGAGGCGGCGCCCCGGGGGAAGGCACATCCATGCCTCCTGCTGGACACACACACACACACACACACCTGCTTCGCACTCGACTCCTTCATTTCTAGTTGGGAGCCCCTTGGCAAGTGAACACGGAGCCTTCGTGTTTTCACCTGTAAGATGGCAGGGACAACGGTACTTATTTCGCGGGCTGATGCATCGCGTGAGGCTCCAGTGCTTAGCGTGGCAGGTAGCCCTCACTAGCCGCAGACTGTGCACAGGGCCGCCCGAGGTCAGTAGAGCGGAGGGGGCACAGGTCCACTCCGCCAGCCTCAGTCAGGGCGCTTGCTGGCTGTTGAACCCGGGCCTTGAACGAGGGAGGGGCCACGTGAATGACAGCAGGCACTCCAGGCTCCGGGGAGAAGCGTGAGGTTCAGTCGCCCGGGGCAGGCTCTCGATTGGTTGGGAGTTGTCACCTGAGGCTGGGACAGGGGCTTTCCTGACAAGGTCAGGCAGAGGACAGAAACCAAGGCCACGGGCTGCAGCCCAGGGCTTTCCTCAAGGGACTGCAGCGTCTGGCAGAGCTCCTGACACCGAGTGGGTCTGGCAGATGCCGGGCTGATGGGTGGAATTTTGCAAGCCCGCCTCCTCCCTGGCGGGCTGCCTGGGGGCCCTCAGGGCCTGGCCTGTGCCCGCCCCTCCAAACCCAGGGCCTGGCTGACACTTCCTGGCTGGCTGGGCCCAGATGTGTCATGCAAAGAAAGCTATTTGAAGCTCCTCAACCAAGCACAAAGGATAAATCCAGCAGCAAGCTGCCACCACAGGGTATTTTGTAGTGATCTCTGAACTTGAAGCTAACTCCAGTAATGAAGGAAACCATGCCCCAGATGCAGTCACCAGGGCTGGGCTGCCACTGACAGATCTGTCTAGCCCCAGGACGGCCGGAAGGGGCAGTGGAGTCTGCGACCTGTCAAGGGCTCAGTACCTCTGCCACTTCCAAGGGGACACAGAAAGGCACACAGGCATGGATCGAGGGACGGTCACCTCAGATGGTGTACGAAGGTGTGAAGCGGCTGCTCATGCCATCTTGCAGCATCCTGCCTTGCATCAAGCTCCAGGCCCACTGGTCCCTTCTAAGGCCAACAAGCCAACACTCACTGTGGCTTTTATGACCACACCCCCTAG